CCTCCCCCCCCTCTCTCTCTCTCTCTAGCTACAGATTCGAGAGCTCCAGCAGACTTCGAGCTTCTTGCTTATCAGTCGACGCGAAATTTTATTCAATCAGTCGGTATCTTGGAAGGAATTTATAACGATCGAGCACTCGGCGAAAGTACGAGGTGCTAATTAGTCGCGAGACATGTCTTCGCGTGTTTGCTGCATCGCCGACGCAGAGCAGCGACGGAGTTGACTTTGAAATTGCGGATGCTCGGAGCGTTAAGACCGACCGAACTTAAAGCGCCAGAACTTTGGATCTCTCTTTTTCTCCCTTGACAAAAGTCGATCCCCCGAAGCCAAGATAGCGTGAGACAAATGCGATTTATAACGATTGAATATTCGAGGACAAGTTTTCGGGCTATTTAATTGGTTCCTTTTTCCGCCTTTTCCGCGGAATTTTTTCTTTTTTCGTTTCCTCGGTGTTCCATCAACGGCGAACGAGGCGACGGATAGCGACGGAGTTGAATTTCAAATCGCGAGTGTCACGCGAACGCCGCAATGCCGATTGAACTAAATATAGCGTGTGCGTTTTTTCTCTTTCGTTCTTTTTTTTTTTTTTTGTTTTTTTTCTCTCTATCCCGTGAAACCCGAGCGCTCGGGGAATTCTCGTGCGTGAAACCAATCAGATCACGCGTCACGGAGCTCTTTTAATTATTCAGAGTAGTCGGCGGCATCGGCTTTCCGCCGCTGAATCAATCGGGCCGAACAGAACGCACGATTTATGCGCGATATGCGCGTACATACGACGCGCGGTAATAGATTGCGCGAATTCGCTCGCGAAGGTAGATGTTTAATCTTCAACGCCTGCACGAAATTCGCGTTCGCGAATGCGCGCGTGCGCGTGCGAATGCGAATTTTCTCGACTGAAATGATCTCGGTGGCGCATCGACCGGCTTGTTGTTCGGTTTATCGTCGGGATACGCGTCGTGACAGCGACGCATGACGTTTTCACCGGCTACGACTGAGCTGTAGTGAAACGAGAAGACGTCAGTCGGATCGTCGAGACACAAGCGCAAGATTGTCTTGAGAGAGAGAGAGAGAGAGAGAGAGAGAGAGAGAGAGAGAGGGGAAGAAAAAGATAGCCGAATGCGTACATCGTCCGGCCACCGCGGCGGCAGCCCTCTCGTCTCGTTATTCCGGCAAAAAGAGCGATAAAAGTGGCGTTTCGGGAGGGTTGGAAGGGAAAGAGGGACTCTCGAGCCGTCACGTTTGACTCGGTATGATTGCGCGAGGAAGAAAAAAGCGAAAAGGAGGAACGTGATGCTCGTTTAACCATGTGTGAATTGAATTCGAGAGGGACAGTCTCTCGCGACGACAGCGCGCGAAGACTCGACGAGATTTTTTCTCTTTTCTTTCTCTCTCTCTCTCTCTCTCTCTCTCTCTCTCTCTCTCTCTCTCTCTCTCTCTTTCTTTCTATCTCTCGCCCCGCACCGTCTTGCACACACGCGCTTTTCGATCCGTGGGAACCTTTTTTTCTCTCTCTCTCTCTGAGGGATTTTACGCGCCCGCATCTCTCGTGAGCTCTCGCGGGCCCACTTTGACCCTAATTTGAACTGATTCCGAACGCGTCGGCTTCTTCTCGGACGTCTCGTTGCCTTCTTCGCCTTTTTCTTCGTCACCGTGACTGATCGCACCGCGTCGCGATCGGTCGACGGATCAACAGGATCGAATAGATCCTCCGGCGCCGCTCTCTGAGCGGGAATAACGAGCCGAAACTGTCGCGAGCGCGTTTGCTTCCAAAAGTGCCTCCTCGCGCGACTCGCGTCGTGCCTCTAAAAAACGACCCTCGTTTTTGCGCGACATGGGTCCCGTCGAGGATCACGGACTGCTCTTTGACGAGCAGTCGGGCCGCGAGGTCGCGTTGGTCGATCGTGGCCCCCGTGGCGGCTGATGATCGAATCGTTAATTCCAACGGAGAATCTCGCCCGCGCGGCTCTCGCTGCACGACGAGTCCCACAATTCGTCGCGAGGATTACGACGCGACTCGCAGCGGCAAAAAAGCAGTTGGTTTCGTCACGCGTTTTTGTAACGTCGCCGCAAGGACGGAGCGTAAGGACCGGGGACGGCCTCTCAGAACACAATCGCGCGACGATGTGTGTGAGCTCCAAAGCGCTGCTTCACCGCTTTTGCATTGTGACACGCCGCATAATAGCCGGCCGTGCAAGTAGTCTCTCGGTTCTCTCGGTGATTATCGAATGAGTAATTGAACATTTCGTCGAACAAACGGAACAGCGAGGCTCGCGAGCGCGTTTATACGATCATCCACGCGAAAGAGGAAGCCGCGCGCTTCTCTCGAGACACTTTTGCTGCAGCGGGCTGTCGGAAGCGAGAGATGGCGACGATTCTTTTCGCGGTCTATTCTTTTCGGTATAATCGAGATCCCCTTTCGACGCTTTCGGTGGGGCACGCCGCGCCGCGCACATATTATCGTAAAATTCCAAGCGCGGCTGTGGTCCTCTTTATTCGGCTGTCGCGCGGAGCTCTTTCAGAAACGGCTCGCTTGCCGCGCGTGGCAACGCAAAACGTCGTTGCGTCTTTCGCGGATCGTAAAAAGCGCGGAAGTTATCGCGTCGCGAGCGCAGAATGCAAACGGCGTCCGGCGACGTTGGTCATCGGCGAGAACGGCGAGGAGGAGAGGCAATCGGGGAGCAGGAGTTTCGAAAGGAACGGCGGAGAGGCGGAGGTAGCGGAGAGGAGGGAGAGAGAGAGAGAGAGAGAGAGGAGAGGAGAAGAGAAGAGAAGAGAAGAGAAGAGAAGAGAAGAGTCGGCGGCGAGACCCCTCCGCGAGAGATCAAGGTTGCAAAGTAACTCTGATGACGCAATCGCCTGCAGCTGCATCCGGCGACATCTAATTGCTCTCGCCTCGTCATGCCAGCTACATTACGTATCGCTGTCGCGCGATCTCTTTTCGACATTCCCGCCGACTCTTTCTCCTCGCTCGCTCTCTCGTTCACCCACCCACTCGACTGCTCGAATTCTCTCGATCTGGAGCGTCGAGGAATATCACGTGTGCGTGTGTGTGTGAGTATTTTGAAGTGTCGGTGCGCATTACTCTCGGCGACCGGTGGCCAGACAATACTCGCGTTTCCTGCGTTAGATTTCCAGCGAATCTATGACGCCGCAATAACAACTCCGGAGTCTGCGGGAGTGATCTATCGAACGAACGTGACTAACGAATGCAATTGTCAAACAGGTAAGAACAATCGATCATTCTCATCTCGATCGAGTCTCCAGTGATAATTGATTTACGTAAGAGACGTGAGAGAGAGAGAGAGAGAGAGAGAGAGAGAGAGAGAGAGGGAGAGAGAGAGAGAGAGAAAACGCAGTTGCGGTCAGCGCGATCTTCGAAAGTGAAATGGCTATCTTCTATCGAAATAGGAGATCAAGAAGCACGGTAGTACCTCGCGCCAAGTTTAAGCGCAACGAAGTTGCGCCTGAACGACGTGAGATACACCGCGTGCCTATATTACACCAGTTGAACTGCGAGTTGAAACGAGGTGAGATATTCATCTCAGCAATGACTAAACCGATCGAAGTTTTTTCAGTCCCAATCGATTCGGCCTTAAAAAATAGGAAGAAAAATGTCCTTGTGTTTTTTGTGTACGTTGTCTCTATGTGTAGATATTTTAAAATAAAGTCCAAATCATGGAAAATTTCGATTCAGTAAGAAAGTAAGAAACACTAGACCGCGGAGGAGAGGGGATTTGTGCATATCACTTTTCTGACACCAGAGGCGTTACAAGCGCGCTGAAGAAGCAGTGAGTGCGAGTGAGCAAGCGATAGAGAGTAAGAAAGAGAAGAATATTGCTAGAATATTTGAGTAGAAATGTGCGAGAAAGAGAGAGAGAAAGAGAGAGGGAGAGAGAGAGAGAGAGAGAGAGAGAGAGAGAGAGAGAGAGAGAGAGAGAGAGAGAGAGAAGCCAAGATTTTTTGCATTGAATATTTTTTATTGCATTGTTATAATAACTAATTTATTATAATAACAAATAAAATAATCATAAAACTCAGTGTTTTATGTAAATAATGAAAATACTGTTTTTGAAGTACCGGATTGTGTATCATTGGGAGTTTTCGATACATTTATCTTCAGATTGCAAATCGCTCTCATTTGCAGAGTTGATGTTGAGTAGAGTTTTTCAATTGATACTATTTTTTTGTTTTGTTACATAATTTTTTTTTGTAGAACAGTTTTGTAGATTTTTTTTGTAGTATTCAGTAGAAGAATTTATTGTTAGAAATATAAATTTTACTTGTACAAACTTATTACTTGTATAACGAAAATATTAAATTATATTGCCCAAAGATACACGTTCAGATGCGGTACGATGCACAGTACTAAAAGCGTTAACACAGCCGTTTATATAATTTCTTTTGCAAAGTAGTGTTGTAGAGTTTTATTGTAGTTATAAATTTTACTTGTAAAATCTTATGTTACGTATAACTTGAAAAAAAATAATTTGAAATTGCTAAAAATAACACAATACGTGTTGCGCGTGTACTTGGCGCCTCTTTTTACCTTTTTGTTTAAAAAGATAAATTTTATACAACGTTACGGGCTCTCTGAGACGCGTCTCGGCGGGACAAGGTCGCGCGATTTTGAAATCATGTTCATAAGTACGCAACTGCCGCGACCGTTTCCATTATTGTTTACGCCGCGGCGGCGGACGAATCGACGGATCGCCGCGCGTAATAACTTCCGAATTTTTACGCTCGATCACAGTATACTCGCGCGTGTAACGGGTCATATTCGTGCATGTGTATGCGTGCGTACGTGTGTGTGTGTGTGTGTGCGCGTGACGATCCGGAACATCTTAAGTAATAGCAGTGTTTCATGGTCTTTAAAGGTAAACTTTTATTGGTTAACTTGGTTAAGTTGAAGAAGTTAATTTATAGTCTCGAGTCTTCATACTCTTGATGCGGGGCGTATTTGTCACTGTAATACTAATGAGGAAACTCGCTTTTTGTTACAGATCTGCTGGAGTTTGCGGCCACGCGATAGCTGCGGTTACCGGGATGCAGTTTCCACGGACACCGATGCCGCACCGGAGGATCCGGTTCGGGCCGAGCAGAGTCGGCTTGAAGGTGAGGTTCACCGATCGTTTGTATATTTTTTCTTGATTCATTGCGATCGAAAATCGAGCGATTGGAATAAAAGCCGTTGAATTGCGATGGCAAAGGATCAACATTTGTATCTGCGCGTGCGCGCGCTTCCGCGAACTGAACGCAATCTAATCTAACTTTTAACCTAACGGTTTAACTAACGAAACTATATTTTTTGTTACAGATCCGCAGCAGAACGCGGCTGACTCTGTCTGCGTATCGGTGAGTCAGAGAAGAAAAGACATTTTTATGGTGATGGGTGTTTGCAATATCTCGAGAAAATTAATGCGATTTAATTATTTGTGTTTTCACACGTTGCTCGAGATAATCAGGAGATCTTTCAGTGTCTTTCAATGACCGTATTATACAACAGAATCTTTAAGATATAATATATATTTCTCTCTTTTATATTTGCTCTGAATCATTAGAAGATACAGATATAAATGCTTTAGTTTGTTATTATATTGAAATCAAGATATGGAATTATTTGCTGCGATTCAATTAATATAACTCCTGCTTCGAGTAGTGTGTGATGTTAAAATTTGATCAGAATTGCGCCATCGCACGTGAAATTCTTCATTATTTATCTTATTTGGCTTGATAAATTTTATGTCCGTCGAGTTTATCAATTTTCTACGCGTACATTCTACATTTTTCACGCGTGTCAGAAGCGATAATATTTCATTTGAAATGACTGATAAATTCGGTACGCGCGTTTATTTACATTACAACTTAGTCCTTACGAAACAGGACGCGCGTTTCTTCCGAATTACCGTTCGCGAAACAAAACATTTTTGTTTTTTCACTCTTGTCTAAACGTCGTAATTTTCATTCGCGATTGATTCTACGCGAATCGCGTCTCACGTATACATTCTCGGAACGTTGCAATATCGTGTTTACTTCTTTTGGGATAAAAATCTCATCTCTTGAACGCGATCATATATGTTTCTTTGTCTCGCCATTCTTTTTCTTTAAATCCCATCGAAATTAAAGAAAGAGAAAAAATAAACAAAGAGAAAGAAAAGGTGGCAAAATATTGTGAAAAAAGGAACTCGTCCTGGATGCTGAGGAGACTGGACATTGAACGGATGCAGAGTCACAGGAGTCAACAAAAGTCAGTGAGTGTGCAAATCCAACGCTCAGAAAGCGTCATATTTTATAATGCATGCTCATATATAAATCGCATTAATTTTCGGCCAGAGATAATAAAAAATACTGCGCGATAATATGCGTTCATATGTAGTTTAATAAAAATATGAATTGCGAGAAGCACTGTTTGCTTCCTCTCTGACCATTGCAGAAATATTTATTCTGTGAAAAATTATACGCAGAACTTTGAGAATGATAATCGAGAAGATATATATTTGACGAATGAAAAACCATATTGATTGTACTGAAGCTGGCTTTCTTTTGCAATACTTTATGCGAATATTAATCTGATATTTTGTGCATAATATTTATGCGTAGTGTCAATTTAAAAAAATTTAACGAATCACTACTACGGCAGTCTTCCTCGATATACACCGACATATTTTTTCTCATGCTCGTGCTTCGGTTTCGAGTTAGCAAAAATACTAGCGACCGCATTCCTCGTCAATGTGTGACCTCGGCGATGTTTACACCTCGGCAGGCGCGATCCCGTGCTCGTTGTTTACGTCCGATAATTTTCAACATGTCCATTTCTTTCCGCGAGGGCGCGTTTGATTAACCGGGCTAGATGGTATCCCAATAAAGAGAAATGCCTGACAGTTCTTATCTTATCCCGTACCATCTGGTTTTACGTCAGCGCGAATGATTACAATTACATCACGTAGAATATATACGCTCGATAAAACGCGTCTAATTAGCGACCGTGAAAGGTAGATATTACCGTCTCGCGCTCTCTCTCTCTCTCTCTCTCTCTCTCTCTCTCTCTCTCTCTCTCTCTCTCTCTCTCTCTCTCTCTCTCTCTCTCTCTCTGTCTCCCGCGAGCTCGAGCGGTACGGAATGCCGGAGCCCGCGCGCGGAGGCAATAATCCTTTTTTGCCTTCCGCATCGATCTCTCATCGACACGACCGCGATCATAAACGCGTCGCAATTTAGAAGATGATTGCACGAGTAAACACCGGTACTCGCGAATCATTCCCTCACCCCGTGGCCGCACGATAGGAACTCGTTCGCGGGTGAACGAGAGATCGGACACGAAGATTCGATCCGATCGGTCCGAGAGAGAAAGAGAGAGGCGGAGAGAAAGAGAAGGAGGAAGGGAGGAAGCACCGTTGGACCGGTTTCGAGATGAATAGCAAGGTGGTTCGCTCGCTCGCTCGCTCGCTCGGCCGTTCGCGACCGATGAACGAAATTGCTCCGCGTTACAATATCGCGGCGAGTAAGATCGGCGCGAAATGTGTCTTCGGCCGGCAAACGGGGGCGAGGCGAGATTCCGATCCCGCAAAAATAGCCCGATAATGGATACACGAATCGACCGACGACGACGACGACGACGACGACGACGAGGAGGAGGAGAACGGTAAAAAGACGTCGTAGCACAGCTTCTGCGTGCGGCTTAAAGTGCTTGTCATCGTACGTGCGTTACTCCGCACCATCGCCGATATAATCGCCTTTCGTTTCCAGCCTGACCAGAATGAACGTTACGTTAGCGCTGTTATGTTATCTCCGCGGTGTTTTTCTAAATTGCGCTGGGATACTTGAAAGAACACCACGTGAGACCTGTTTCCCGCCGATACTTGCCGGTGTCACTCGGGTAATTTTTTCGCTTGTCGACGACTGCCGTGACGATCGTTTGTTCAATGTTCTTGTGCTTTAGCGTCACTTTTCGACAGATCCGTTATTTGTCCTACGGTTTCTCGATATCATTCGGCTCAAATTTTTCATCTTTTTCCTCTCTTTATCGATTAGCGTTATCTCTAGGAAGTATGCGTATAGACTCGAATAGATAACTCGAGCGCTCCACAAGAGATTGTAAAGACGACATTTGGTCTCAAAAAATACGGAACATCTGTCACGGATATTTTTGATCTTTGTTCGTCGGAGAAAGTTGGACGAAAATATAGTTGTCTTTATATCTTTACGTCTCGCGTCTTCGTCTCTTTCTTAGAAGAAGGAAGAGGGGCACGGTTTCGCACGTTTGTAATTATTTTGTCGAAAAGTTCCGGATATTTCACCGGATAGCTCACGCGGCATCGTGACGAGCGCTCCACGGAGAGAGGGAAGAAGAGCAGCTGTGTTCACGCGTAACGAGACGCTTCTTACACGAATCGTTCGTTTCCCCCGCGATAAGTACAAACCGAACACGCCGACGTCTTTTCGACGCGTCACGGTGCGTCGTGGCAATCAAACTTCCCGAGAAGCTCGGGTGGAAAGAAAAGTGGAGCTTCTCCGAGACGCTCCCGGAAAGGGATTCGTCTCCCTCGAAATTATGAAAGTCCGCGGAAGCTTCGACCATTAACTTGCCTGCCAAGAGGAACGCAGAGAAGAAGAACGGGATTCGTCGTCGTCGTCGTCATCGTCGTCGTCGTCGTCGTCGTCTTCGTCTTCGTCTTCGTCTTCGTCTTCGTCGTCGCCGCGATGGCACGTAAAACAGAACTTTAATACTCGCTCGGCATACTTCAGCTGGAGTGAGAAGGGGCGGGCGAATCGGGACGCGGGAATGTTCGCATAAAAACGCCTACGTGGTCGTAGATGGGCGCGTATCGAAGGGACGCGAGAGAGAAGGGCCTCCTTCGTTCGAGGACGCGTGAGAAGAAACGGCCGCTAAGTTATACGCCGCTACTAAATTGGACGCGCGCGACGTCCATTAATCCTTTCTGCTTGGATTTCTTCGGCCGGAAACCGATTTCAATCTCTCTTTCTCTCTTGGCTCGCCTCGCGCGGAATAAAGCAATTTTGCGGTTCTCTAAAGAAACATTCCGCGGAACAACGATGATTTACGCTGTGCGCGAATGTGTGATTATCGTATGAAAATGACACGTGTAAATCTCGCGCGATTTCGAAGGAGACGGCAGGTGTCTGAGCATTTAGCAGAGTCGGAATTTAAATGAGTACATACGTTTACGCAGACCATTTTTAAGGATGTGATATGCGGCACATTGAAAAATGCACAGCACATGTGTGTGTGTGTGTGTGTGTGTGTTGTTTAAAAAGAAAAAAATTTATAATTTTTAGATTAGCCCACTCTCTGCTCTTATCTCCCCTTTTCTATCCTCCTCTTTTTTTTCTCTTTCTCTACTTCTCCCTCGCCTATCTTATCCCTCCATCCTCTTGTAACTCCGTTTTAATCTCCACGACTATGCGAGAGCATTTCTTCATCCCAGTCACACAAAGCACGAATAAAATTTCGTTCAGATACTAGTTGTATTGAACCCACCACTACCAGCGCGCGACCACGACAAGCCGCGTAATCTTAAGGAGGGTTAAAGCTCCGGGGACGTGGGATATTATTCCAGGTTAATAAGCTGGATATTGAAAAGTATACCGTAAGAATGGGACGCACGCGCGATATCTTTTCTCTTCCCTTTGTCCGTACTGTTTCACGTTAAACACACGGGGACGGCGAAGCGTACATGTTTGAAAATCATAGAAGTCAAAGACCAATACTATCGTAATAATTAATCGAGCGCAAATGGACGCTCCTCTTTGTTCGTTAGATTGATTGAGAAGAGAGGCAGACGAACAATTTGGAGGATTTTTCGCGCTCGCGCTCGCGCTCGCGCTCGCGCGAGGTTGCGGACTGCAGTTTACCATATAATCATCGGTAGTGGTTTCTCGTTGCGACACGACGGAGAACTCTGCGCGCCCTAATCTCGCGCATCATCTCAATTTTAAATTAGATTTTGTAACGAGCGTATGACGAGTCACTGAATCATCGCTCACGCTTGCGGTTTCCGGCCGAGGCCAGCTCCGCGCTTGGCCCCGTGTAATAGGCGAAAAGATCGACGATATCCTCGCGAACGTTGACGAAATCGGCGGTTCGACGCTCGCAATTTGCCTCGCGAGTTGCGCGCAAAGTCCGACCGTCGCGTCATCGTTATCGTTGTCGTTGTCTACGCGCCGTGCGGTGTCTACGCGCTAAATTAGATCTCGCAACGAACGAACGAACGTGTGACGAAACGCGCAAACTCGTCCTGAGTGACCGCGGTTTCCCGCTGCGACTCGTCCTGTCGCGATTAAACCGCGACTTGGCGCGGCACGATAATTAATAGGTGGAGCGGACGTTTCGCTGGAAG